GACTCTCTCGTTGTTGGACAACCCTTACGTGTGAGTTTCAAAGGTTCTCAAGGAAAATGTGCGCATAAGTATTGGTTTTTACACTTACATGGATTTTGGCTCAGTGGTTTAGAGTAGTGGCTCCAATCTGTTGAGTGAGGGTTCAGGTCCCACTACGGTTAAAGTTAAGAAGCGGTTACTTGGTGTTTGGGGTTCACCAGGCTCCCCACCAGGAGTCACGTCCCACGGCCGTCTTTTGATCGTCTGTTCATTGATCAACAGATTTTAAGGTGATGTAACCATAAATGTTTTCACGTACTATTAGATTGTATATTAGAGTTGATACAGTATAGCATATATTGATAGCTAGATAAAAATTGAGAAGTCATTACGTCTATAAATAACAATATAGACAAACTTTCAACTGAGCATAATAGGCATCAATTCAAATTCACACGCCTACCGAAGAGAAGATCAAAGCCTTCTTCCGCTCATAAAAACCATCATCATTGGTGATACAGTCGCTCGATGTACAAGCATCCCATGACTTCTCGTTTTTCTAAAGGCCTTTGCTCTAGCTCCAAGAATCAACAGTCAACAGCTCTTGAGCAGATCAAGCCACGATTGAAATGAATTATGAAGCTGGATCGAACGTTGTGCATGTGCAATGATCTCAGGGTCTGCGCGGGTTATTTGAGCATTTAGTATGTATCCTCGTAATGAAACGAGTTCCATTCCGTTAGTAATCTAAGGTCAAACTGGCCACGAGTAGAATGGCAATAATTGATATTCTGCATTCTGTATCTCCTGTGGTACTAAGTCTATCTAAACTTGTCATCGGTTCTTGCAGCTAGCGAATACTTTTTATAAGTCTGGAGCAGTGACCATATAGCTCATAATTATCAAAATCACACTGCACACTGACGGTGTACGGTGGTATCACATACTCGTACTGCAGGTCTTTGAATCGATACAATTATTCAGAACCGCATTTCTTGCTTGATCCTTTTCATCCACAAAGCGTTCGCTCAAAGTTGCCATTTTCTACGACTCAGTCACCGTTACGGATGAAAAAAACGGTGAAGCCCATTTTCAAGCGCTTTAGTGAAACATAGGACACACGATCTGCTAAGTTTGTATCTTAATCCGAATGTACGAAAATAATCACGTCTCCTTGTGTTGCCACCGAGGGTTTAAGATTCTTAAAGGAAGATCTATACGGCTGGAAGAACGATACGGGGAGGCATCATTTACATGTTGGAACAACAACTCGTATTATAGGGATGCCGTGTATTTTGAATGTGGATAAAGTCCGCGTTGGCAAGCACACATAGGTCGAGTTTGTACGCTCTAGAACCAAAAGCCTATCCTAACGAGTATGCGTTTTATTTAATGAAAGACATATGCATAGAATTGTCACTGTTGGATCCAACCTTAAGTCTTCAAACGGGATAAGTACGGATTGTCCGCTGTTGACATAGTCAACTTGGTGCCCAGCACCCTGAAGATAGTCGACCAAAGCTTCCCAGGGAAGCGTGGGATCTGTCTGTCAGAACAAATTGACTTCGGGAGTCCATGTTGTCGAAAAACGAGATCCACAAACAGCGTCGCTGTATCGACACCGTCGATGGCGTCCGGCACCGCCGCAGGATGGGCCATCTTGATCAAACGGTTGACGAAGACAACGACACCCGTGTTGCCTGCCGAGTCCTTCGGCAGGACAAACACAAAGCCCATATTCATGGATTGCCAACACCTGGAGGGTACCGGCAAACTGGCCAACGGCGCCGCCGCATTCGAAGAGGTTTTCAGCCTTTGACACGTCTCTCACGTGCGCACATAGGAGCTCGTCCAATTGTACAGCTTGAACCAAGAGTATTGGTAACTCACAGAGCTGTACGTCTTCTCGCAATCGAGATGACCACTGAGTGGGGTGTTTTGGGTTTCAAAAAGGATACAGTACTTCAAATCCTCATCATGAGGAGCCACAATTCGTTGCGTATCCGTCGAGCCGGTGTTATAATACAGCAATCCGTTATTTAATGGATGTCGGTGCAATCGTGCGTGCATTCGCGACGACAACTTATGTCCAAGTTTCCAAACTCCTTTCTCCCGAGAGCTCGTTGAGGCGATACGCACTATAATCACCCGCGTACGCAGCGTGGAACAAATCCGTCACTGACAACGTCACCGTCGTGACATGAGCAAGCCCATAATCCGGTCTGCGTGACAGCACATCAGCCAAAGCATTCTGCCTTCCTGGCTGATACTCTACTTCGACTTTATATTTTGCGAGGAAGGAGAGCCACCTGGTCATCCTCTGCAAGAGGTGAGGCGACGGAGTTGCAGTGCGTAGTGACGCATGATCTGTGTAGATCATAAACGGCTTTTAGCCGAGCAGTTACACCCTGAGCTTGACAAGTGCATACTTCATCGCAAGTTATTTCTTGTCGTGGACTGGTTAGTTCTTCTCTGTAGCCTTGAGCTGGTGAGATTCGAACGCGATCACCCGATCTCGCCCCATGGCGTCTGCTTAGAGGACGATCGGGGTCTGGAAACGCCAGTGCTGGTACATGAAGGAGGCTGTCTTCAACTTTGTCAAAAGCCTCCCGATGTTCGGTGTCCCAACAACATTCCGCATCATTCCAAAGGAGATTCGACGATCGCCGAACCATTCCCGCAAAATTCGCGCTATAGTTGTGCAAGTAGTTGGCGAGGCCAAGCCACTTGCACAAGTCCTTTTGGTTCTTTGAACTGACCAGTCTACAATAGCCTTGACCTAAGCAGGATCCGCTCGTAGGCCACGCTTCCCAATGATGCACCCTAGAAAGTAGATTTCTTCAGCGACGAAGATGCACCTATCTGCATGAGCCTACAGCTTATTCATGCGCATGCACTCGAGCATCGCTTTCAAATGGATGATGTGGTTTTCCTCATCTGTCTCCCATGCCCCGCACGAATGTGGACAAAGATATCGTCAAAGTACGTCTGTGCATACGCCCGATGGGACCTGAACAACTGCATCACAAGACAATTAAATGTTGCTGGTGCATTTGACAGCCCTTGGGGTATCAAAATCCACAAAATCCACTTCCAGAGTAACCCGCTCGGAGTGCTTACCGCTGTCAGCGGAAAATCACTCGCTCTCATGGGCAATTGTAACACCCATCGACCAAGTCGAGTACACTGTACATTGTATATCTAAGCATGTTGTTCTGGAGTACATTTTTTCTAGGAATTGGAGTCTGTGCCGGAGTGGTGGATGCGTTTAGCCTATTGTAAGTGTGAGCGATACGCCACTTGCCGTTCGGTTTCCGGACACAAAAAGTGGATGTCGAATGGGAAGATTTGCTCTCACGCATCATTTCTGCATCGTTCTTTGCACGGAAGGAGGCGTCAATGACGTCACACTACTCCTTGGGCAGTAATCATTGGCTTGTCACGCAGTATTTGGTTCCCAGAACCAGGTCGATCTCATGACGCACACCTCGATCCGGAGTTAGGGTCTTTGGAGATGACGCCTTGAAACTCCTCCACCAAAAGATAATACGGATCCGAAGGATCCTTTAGGATTGACGACCCACCTCGTGTGCTCAGCACCCTCTTGGTGTCCTCCAGACATCTTCATCCAGAAGCGACGATGTGTTAATCCTCGCTCGGTCATATAATGACCACCTCGGCTAAATTGCCTGCCTTCAAGGCACCGCCAAACTCTAAAACTGACATCTCGTTCAGCTCAAGATGAGCATCCACCGCGCCGCGGGTAACGTCGCCGACATCCTCCCGCGTTATACCGTTGCCAAGGGTACATAGCTGTGCGCTATCGTCTACGGTAGACACACCCTGTGTCCGGGTCGATGCCCTGCGTCTTGCAGAAAACATACGACATCGCCATCTCTTCTATGTGGAAGGTTTACGTCTCGTGGAGACCAGTGGGAATCTGCACTCAGCGTCGTTTATTTTCTCCACTCCTCGATCCATCGGAGCCTTGATGTTAGTAATACCCTTCGACAAAAAGCTGTTAGTTCCACAGTCTTCGTCCAGTGGACAACTTGATACTCCACACGTATCACTAGGGCCTCGCCCTCGATGCCTCGGACCTCGTCCGACCATGCCACTTTCGGCATGCAGCAACTGCTTTAGAACGTGAGCAGTGCTCAGTGGACTACGTGCGACTCCACGTTCAGCCCGTGAGCCATGTTCGGAATTCTTGTCGAATACACATTTAGTGTTCGACAACTCGAATACTCCGATATTCAGCACATTGACCGTTCCGGTCCAGTGCCCGCGCCAAAAGCACTTCTGCTTCCTAGCAGAGTTCACCAGGAAGTGTGCGCAAATCGCTTAAGGTCTTCCACCTCCAATCGATCCATGGCTCATGGTGTTCCATCCATGCCATATCAAGGATAAGATCATACCCTTGAGTCCG